GTTTTGTCTGGTGTTTTCTCATGATTAGAATCACATTATACATTCTTTGCATCAGTATCACAGAAGCAATGGTACGTTCTTTTCATTGTACCCTATCAAGTAACACATGGTTTCACTTTGCTCCATGACTGATGATATTAACTTTGATCTCTTGACTATGGTGGGGCATACAAGACTTTTCTTTATAATTAATAAGTGTTTTATCAGAAGATACAATTTCTTTTATTTATTTATTTATTTATTTATTTATTTGAGATAGAGTTTCACTCTTGTTGCCCAGGCTGGAATGCAATGACACGATCTCAGCTCACCGCAACCTCCACCTCCCGGGTTCAAGCGATTCTCCTACCTCGGCCTCCTGAGTACCTGGGATTACATTAGACCATGCCTAGCTAATTTTGCATTTTTAGTAGAGACAGGATTTCTCCACGTTGTCCAGGCTGGTCTCATACTCCCAACCTCAGGTGATCCACCCACCTCGGCCTCCCAAAGTGCTGGGATTACAGTGCTGTGAGCCACCATGCCCGGCCAAGGTCCTCATATTTTTAAACAGATTAAATATTCTGTTCATCATTAAACTTAAATTCATTTATTTAGAAAATTTTTTATTTTCTATTTATTTTAGAAAATTCACATACATATTTGTAACAGTATGGACTCATAGTTTCCCATTATAACAATTATTATTTATTTATTTTGAAGCTCAGATTGCCCTTGTTTTGGCCAACAGGATTCCATTCAAGCTGGCTTTTGTTGTTCTTTTGACATGTCCCATCCTTGCATTTTGGTACTGTTGTACTATCCCTGCTTCAGTCCCGGAGTCAGTCATTTCTCCAAGGATCTATTGTTCCTATTCATGGAAAATGGTTTTTAAAGGCTAAGGTCTGGACTCCATATGTGCTCACTGCTAGTGGGATGTCACTGCTCTCTAGATCTCTCAGTGGGCAGAGCTAAGGAGTATGCGTGGGTAGAGATTTACATATCTGTTTCCGTATCTATCAAAAGCCATGTTTCTACACCAGTGGTTCCAGTTCCATTCTAGCACCAAGGAAATTCTAATTTCCAGATTGATAACCCTCTTTTCTTACTGTGAGAAACCTAGTTTTATTATCTTTAATATATTTACCAATTTGATCTGTATGCAGCCAGTTCTTCTGCTACCAGTTTTTCTGCTATCTCTGCTGCCTCCTCCTCACTTGCACAGATATACTCCTCATCCTGCTAGGCTTTGCCATTCCATCCTCACCCAAAACCATGGATGCCATTCTTATTCCACTTCGGCTCCAACAGATCACACCTGGTTACTGCTCTATGTGGACACCCTTCCTACCTGTCTGGGTTGAAATCCAATATATTCACCAGTGGAGACCCTCCTTGTGGTCTGTTTGGGAATCTGTGTCCTAATGCCTGGTCATTTATAATTTTGATAACTTTTAAAAATTACCCTTTGCATTTATTTGATTACTAATGAGCAGGAAGGAATTACTATGTTTTTACCAACTTCTCATGTCAAGAGACAATATATCAGCCAGGCACAGTGGCTCATGCTGTAATCCCAGCACTTTAGGAGGCTGAGGCGGGCGAATCACCTGAGATCAGGAGTTCAAGACCAGCCTGGCCAAAATGGTGAAACCCCATCTCTAACAAAAATTAGCCAAGCATGGTGGTGGGCGCCTGTAATCCCAGCTACTTAGGAGGCCGAGGCATGAGAATAGCTTGAATCCAAGTGATGGAGGCTGTAGTGAGCCGAGATCACACCACTGCACTCCAGCCTGGGCGATAGAGCAAGACTCTGTCTCAAAAAAAAAAAAAAAAATAAGAGAGAGAGAGAAATAGAACATATCAAAAATATCCTAAAGCCAAAATTATGGCATATTAACAAGATCACTCCCTTATTGTCTAATTCTCATCTCTTTACTAAGGATCATATGTTGTATATTTGTTAAAGGAAGACATTTTTGGAAACTATATAACCAAAATCTAAATTGGGTGTAGTATTTTTGAACTTGAGAACACTATTTCATCACAGCCTAATGTGTGATATACTTCTGAAACATGGGTAGCCATTTTATGTTCAGTAAATGTTCTTTGAAGATGCATAAGCCCTCAGTTAGACTACAGTAGTACAAAGAAAAGAAAAAAAAAACCTATAGTAGTAGTAGCAGTCCCATGCTTTGTATGGCAATTATTTTCATTTATTGTCTATTTTCATTTTTAATTTTGAGATGAGGAAGACCCTATTTGACCTATTTTATTATGACCATTGTTAACATTATTCTTTTTTAAATTGTTCTCTATTTCTGTTCCGATTTTTCTTTTATTCTCCTCCCTCATGCAGTTTATCTTCTTTTTTGTTTTGTTTTTAAAATCTAAAATTTGGCAAAAATAATTATTTTGTTCAAATCAGAGTTTCTATAAAGGAAATTATTTCAATATCTAATACCTACTGATTATGTTTCTTACCCGGTGTTTCTGCACACATTACAGTCAGGCATACACATTTATCAAACTTAACAAGTCCAAAACAAGCCACTGATAACCTTTGTAAAGTTTACTAGGAACTGTAATATTCTAGAATTATACTTCTAGTGAGGATAGTGGAGTTGTTCATATAAAAGCTTGCCAACCTGAAAGACTATTTTATACTTCTTGAGCACTGCCACAAAAATTTATTATCAGAATTACAGTTGTGTCAGTATTTGTCAGAAGGACACGGGAAAATTAATATTAATGAGTTTACTGTATTCTAGCCCCAAGTCCTCACCGTGATCCTAGGAGGCGGATGCTGTTTTCCCATTTTACTGATAATAAAACTGTACCTCAGCAATAATTAAGAAACTGCTCCAATCAGAATATAAGAGGCAGAGATTTAATAATACTACAAAGCTTATGTTCTTTTTACTTGCCCATGGTGATGCTCTCTGTCAGAAGAGGAAAAATTCAGTACCTTTGGATTGTCTCATTAGTATGATACAGATAGTTCAGTTTTGTAACAATCTATGTGCTTTTTCTGTAAGAAATTATTTTTCTGCCAGTCGTCTGTCCAGACCATTATATGTCAGGTCATTTCTAATTATCTGCTAGGACAATTACAAAGCTTGCTTATCTGGAAAAGAGAATTCACTTCCTGTGTAAAGCATTTTCTTGTGAATTCCATTTATCCATCTGAAGTAAAATACACACTGTTAGAATGATCCTCTAACGTCTTTGAAATTCTGATAACATATAACTTTATGGGAGTGATTTTTGTCTGGCTTTTAGAGATGCATTCATCCTGCTGCAATAGTTCTTGTTAAAACCAGCAAAAGTGTTCTGATTCTGGTCTGCAGCATGCTGTATGGTTGTTTCATTCCAGAGAGATGGGAAGGAAATGAGTCTATGGCACTAGCCCAGGCCACTACCTGCTGAAATCCCTCAGGGCCTGAATTCATCATGTATTTGATCATCAAAAAATTTTAAGAGGAACTCTGGTATTTTGTAATGTTCAAATGTGAGTTCTTCGATTTAACTGTTATTCCTACAAAAATGATTTAAAGCACTGTCTGATAACTTGCTTAAAAATAAGCAGTAAGTGAGTTTTAATGGTTATAAAATCCATGAGTTTATAATTATGCTTTTAAAAAGAAGGCAGAAACAAATCAAAACTCCTTGGTAACAACTGGGCCCAACTCTTAACACTGAAATTTAAAGAAAACTGTATTAAGAATCTATTCTGCCTTTTCTATCACTGTACTTCAGGGTAATCAGAATAGGTCTAGCTGATAAAGTTACTTTCTACAGAAGAATTCTACCCCATGGGAAGAATGGTCTGATTTAGATAATCACCGTTTTTAACTCCTTTTAAAATAACTGATTCAACAACAATGAGTGGGATAGACCATTGGTTAAAAGATTTGTAGTCTGGGCACAGTGGCTCATGCCTGTAATCCCAGCACTTTGGGAGGCCAGTAGATCACTTGAGCCCAGGAGTTCCAGACTGGCCTGGAAAACATGACAAAACCCCATCTCTACAAAAAACACAAAAATTAGCCAGGTGTGTAGGTGCACAGCTGTAATCAGGAAGCTAAGTTGAGAGGATCAATTGAGCCTGGAAGGTGGAGACTGCAGTGAGCCATGATCACACCACTACACTCCAGCCGTGGCAACAAAGTGAAATCCTATTTCAGATAAAAAGGGCAGGGCGGGGGGGGGCGCATAATTTATGGAGAAGTTTACAATAGTGGTATTAGACCACTGGGTGCCTAAATCCAGTGGTCATTTTTATCATCACTAAATGCCATTTAAGTCTCCTGGCATGAAACCATAGAAATATATACTGGCGTATATAAAAAGAAAATAATAGGTATATATGGGATTTGCTAGAAATACTTCAGATAAAAGGAAAGGAGGGACAGAGATGACCTAAGAATGGTAAAATTGGCCCGGCGCAGTGGCTCACACCTGTAATCCCAGCACTTTGGGAGGCCGAGGCGGGCGGATCACAAGGTCAAGAGATCGAGACCATCCTGGCCAACATGGTGAAACCCTGTCTCTACTAAAAATACAAAAAATTAGCTGGGCATGGTGGCTCGTGTCTGTAGTCCCAGCTGCTGATGGGGCCAAGGCAGGAGAATTGTTTGAACCCAGGAGGCAGAGGTTGCAGTGAGCTGAGATCATGCCACTGCACTCCAGCCTGGTGCCTGGCAACAGTGCAAAACTGTCTCCAAAAAAAAAAAAAGGCGGTAAAATCTTAAAAAATGTTAAATCTGGGTGATGGGTATATAAAGGTTCATTATACTGGTCTCACTTTTGTGTATTTTTATTATATAAAGTTTTAAAATAGCACTGGTGTTTTGGGAATGACAGAATTGAAAAGAAAATTACTTATGTCTTTTTTTCTTTGTCTTTTTTACAACAAACATAATGGTTATATCTGTGACTAGTCATATAAAGTTGTCATCCCCATACTTGTGAGAGTCACCCTATAAACTTACAGAACTAATATCATGTTCTTTTGACAGATCTTTCCCTAGACCATTCTGACCTAGTCGCAGAGTTGTTGAAGGAGCTGTCTAACCACAATGAACGTGTAGAAGAAAGAAAAATCGCCCTCTATGAACTTATGAAACTGACACAGGAAGAATCTTTTAGTGTTTGGGATGAACACTTCAAAACAATATTGCTTTTATTGCTTGAAACCCTTGGAGATAAAGAGGTAAATGGCAAAATATGTAAACAGTAGCCTGTCCTTCCTGTCTCTTAGATTGCCTATTAATCCAGTGCTACACGGATTTAGAAATTGGGAGAATGAGTCTCTTCTGCTTCTTCTTTCTGCATAAAGTTTTCACTGTGAAGTACTTTTTCTACTAAACCAAGTACCTCAACAATTTTGGACAATTAAAAACAGGAAAAATGAAAGGTTGCAGGCTGAATTCTTATGGAAAAGTACATATTACTTATTTGACATGTTTAGTTTTTCAGAAGCAACTTCTTTTATTTATTTATTTTTTGATTTAATTTTATTCTGTCTTAGTTTTTGAGATGTAATCTTACTCTTGCCGGGCTGGAATGCAGCAGTATGATCTCAGCTCACTGCATCCTCCACCTCCTAGGCTCCAGAGATTCTCCTGCCTCAGCCTCCTGAGTAGCTTTGATGATGGGCGTGTGCCACCATGCCCAACTAACTTTGTATTTTTAGTAGAGTCAGGGTTTCCCCATGTTGGCCAGGCTGGTCTCGAACTCCTGACTGCCAGTGATCTACCTGCCTCAATATCCGAAAGTGCTGGGATTACTGGCATGAGCCACCATGCCCGGCTCCAGAACTTTTTTTATAGTCTGAATGTAGTTCTTGATTTCTTGCAAATATAATAAGTGTAATATAAATATTGAACTAGAGGTGAGAAAACTTAATTAGTCGCTTATACCACCTACTTTTTGCAGTTGTCTACAATTCCTCTTCCAATAGTAAGACCCTTAAGTTACAAAATTTGAAAATGTTAAAGATTATCTACAACCCAAAATATTAAAAATATTTAAATGTTTTTTCTTAGCCTACAATCAGGGCTTTGGCATTAAAGGTTTTAAGAGAAATCCTAAGGCATCAACCAGCAAGATTTAAAAACTATGCAGAATTGACTGTCATGAAAACACTGGAAGCACATAAAGATCCTCATAAGGAGGTAAGTTACCTGGCAGTTAAATTATTATTTCATCATTTTATTTCATGAAACATGTAAGCATTGTGTAAAACGCAGCCTTATTCACCATTTTCTGAAACATTTGCCTTGACATTCAGGGTAATACCTGATCAAGATGCAAGCATTTTTTCCATTAAATGAATTAAACAGTGATTCCATGGCCTTTCACCTAAAGTAGGCCCGCTCTAGGAAATAATTTGATTTCATTTTCTCCTTCACCTCACTTTTAGTTTTCTACTTAGAGTTTAGCAATGTTATTTTCACTTTCCATTTAGCAGTAAGAATTTGATTTTTTTTTTTAATAACTAATGAAGATCAGAATCATTGTTTTGGGGGGGAATTTGTTTGTTTGTTTGTTTGTTTGTTTGTTGAGTCAGGATCTCACCCTGTCACCCAGGCTGGAGTGCACTGGCATGATCACAGCTCACTGCAGCCTCAGCCTCCCAGTTCAAGTGATCCTTCCACCTCAGCTTCCTAAGTAGATGGGACTGTAGGCATGCACCAGCACGCCTGGCTATTTTTTGCTATTTTTTGTAAAGATGAATTTCACCATGTTGCCCAAGCAGGTCATTATTATTTTTAAGTGATAAATTGCCTAGGGGAACTGCATATCTGCTACAAGTTTATTCACCAAAGTAATGAGGACAGCTTTCATGAAATTTCATAGTACTTGGTAGTCATGACATCTCTCTTCCCTTCTTCACCAGTGACATTGATCAGATAACTGTGAGGATTTTTATTATAATCTCAGAAAGAATTAGAAAAAATACCAAAAAGGGACTAGTAGGCTTTTGGGCAACAGGTGGTGTTTGATTCTATGAATAAGTTCTTTAGTGGTGATTTCTGAGATTTTAATGCATCCCTCACCCTATTTTCTTTCTCCCAAGTCCCCAAAGTCCACTGTATCATTTCAAACTTTTGCATCCTCGTAGCCTAGCTCCCACTTATGAATGAGAACATATAACGTTTGGTTTTCCATTCCTGAGTTACTTCACTTAGAATAAAGGTTGTCAGTTCCATCCAGGTTACTGTGAATGCCATTATTTTATTCCTTTTTATGGCTGAGTAGTATTCCATGGGGGTGTGTGTGTGTGTGTGTGTGTACGTGTGTACACACATACAACACAATTTCTTTCTCCACTCATCGATTGATGGACATTTGGGCTGGTTCCATTTTTTGCAATTGCAAATTGTGCTGCTGTGAACACATGTTTGCGAGTATCTTTTTCCTATCATGACTTACTTTTTTCTAGGTAGATACCCAGTAGTGAGATTGCTGGACCAAATGGTAGCTCTATTTTTAGTTCTCTAAGAAGTACATTTCTAAGAGAAAGTAACTGAGCAATAATAGAATTAGGTATCTCTGGTAGAACCAAGACAGAAGCAAAAGACAGATCAAAAAAGGAAGGTTAAAATAGCAATGAGATAAAATGAATCAGAGCCAAAGGCAAGAGCTAAAACAATAAACCTCTCAGAATAAAGCAGAGGTGTAAATCTTTGCTACTTTGGATCAAGCATTGATTTCATAATATAACTTTAAAAGCAGAAAACAACAAAAACAAAATAGAAAATTTGGACTTCACCAAAATTAAATATTTTTGTGCTTTATTAGCTTAGTGGTCAGGTAACTTTTTTTTTAAAATCGTGGCCAGGCACAGTAGCTTACACCCGTAATCCCAGCACTTTGGGAACCTGAGGTAGGTGGATCACTTGAGGTCAGGAGTTTGAAACCAGCCTGGCCAACATGGTGAAACCCCCATCTCTACTAAAAGTACAAAAATTAGCCAGGTGTCTTGGTGGGAGCCTGTAATCCCAGCTGTCTGGGGGGCCAAGGCAGGAGAATTGCTTGAACCCAGGAGGCAGAGGCTGCTGTGAGCTGAGATCGTGCCACTGCACTCCAGTCTGGGTGACAGAGCGAGACTCTGTCTCAAAAATATAAATAAAAGAAATAAAAAATTGAAGAAAATATTTTCTGTCCTTCAAAGGACATTATCCTGAAAGTGAAATGACAACTCATAGAATGGGAGAAAATTTTTGCAGACATGTATCTGATAAGGTACTAATATCCATAATATATATTCTTATAACTCAGCAATAAAAAGATAGCCAGAGTTTTAAATGGACAAAGGATCTGAATAAACATTTCTCCAAAGATACACAGATGGCAGTAAGTGCATGAAAAGCTGTTCAACATCATTAGTGATTAGGAAAATGTAACCAAAGCCACAGTGAGAGACCACTTAACACCCAAAAGAAATACAGACAATATGTTGGTGAGGATGCAGGGAAATTGAAATCCATTGGATAATTACTTTTTAAAAAGATTTGACTGTGAATGTTCTAGAAGAATGAATCATAACTTTTAAATCTATCTGGGTTTTTGCAGGGGTTTGTGGGGGAAGGGTTTTGTTTTGTTTTGTTTTGTTTTGTTTTGTTTTGTTTTGTTTTTGGTCTTTTTGAGTCAGAATCTTGCTGTCAGCTCACTGCAACCTTTTGCCTCCTGGGTTCAAGTGGCTCTTCTGCCTCAGCCTCCTGAGGAGCTGGGATTACCAGCGCGCACCATCATGCCCAGCTAATTTTTGTGTAGAAACAGGGTTTCACTGTGTTTGCCAGGCTGGTCTCAAACTCCTGGCCTCAGGTGATCTGCCCGACCCAGTTTTTTTCTGTTTCTGTTTTTGTTTTATTCAACCAGTGTTTCGTAGTGGTACATTTATGGCATTTCATTGAAAGTTTTTAAAATGATATCTAATATTTATAGTTTAGTTATCCACCTTTTGACCCAAATAAGGCCTGTAACATCCCTACAAAACCCAAAATTGGCACCTTTAAGGTATTACCACTGAAATTAGCCCCGAGTCTTCTAATGTCCAGTGTATTTTCTTTTTCTTTTTTTTTTTTTTTGTGTGTGTGTATTTCCCACAGTACCTATCTAAGCATTTTTCCCCTATTAAGATCATAAGTGAGACACTGCCAAAGTAATATCAGAAACAATTATATTTACATGTTCTTAAGACTATATTTAGATCTTTAGAGATTACAGATTCTAATAAGAAGATAGACAGCCCTTTCTTGTCTTCATCACAAAACCAGTGTTTTACCCTCCCCAAGCCCATTACAGAAGGAAGAAAATCATTATTAAAAAAGGAGAAATAGATCATTAACTCTCAATAACACATTAATCATATGATTTTTATTTTATTTCTCATTAATGTGATACAAAGGGTTCAAGCACTCCTAGAGATGAGAGTACTGATAATGAGCAGTATTAGAGATGAGAGTACTAATAATGAGTACTACTAAAGATGAGAGTACTCATAATGAGCAGTACTAAAGATGAGAGTACTCATAATGAGCAGTACTAAAGATGAGAGTACTAATAATGAGCGGTACTAGAGATGAGTGTACTAATAATGGCTGATGCAGGAGACTCCAGTCACATTGTAGTCTAGGTAAATAGAGCCTCCTCACTCTAACACAACTAGACCACAATTTGATTTAAAAACTACTTTAGGGCCGGACGCAGTGGCTCACGCCTGTAATCCCAGCACTTTGGGAGGCCAAGGAGGGAGGATTACTGGAGCTCAGGAGTTTGAGACCACCATGGGCAACATAGCAAGACCTTATCTCTACTAAAAATTTTAAAAAATTAACCAGGCATGGTGGTGTATGCTTGTAGTTCCAGCTACTCAGGAGGCTGAGGTGGGAGTATCACTTGAGCTGGGAGTTTAAGCTAGTGATTCATGATTAAGCCACCGTACTCCAGCCTGAGTGACAGAGCAAGAACCTGTCTCAAAAAACAAAAACAAACAGACAAAAACCCACTTTAGCTAGCAGCAAAAAAAGAGTACAAGAAGGGAGAATAGTATGATAAGCCCCATGTATTCATCATCTAGCTTTAGCTGTTACCGACATATTGCCAATCCTTTCTATAATCTGTACCCTCACTTTTCATGTTCAGAGCAAATCTAAATATTATGTCATATTAAATACTTCATGAAGTTTATACTTGCAGGACATAGTATAATGTTTTAAAAATTACTTTCTGGCTGAATTCCCTGTTTTTTTAGGTGGTGAGATCTGCTGAAGAAGCAGCATCAGTGTTGGCCACTTCAATTAGTCCAGAGCAGTGCATCAAAGTGCTTTGTCCTATCATTCAGACTGCAGATTACCCAATTAATCTGGCTGCAATCAAAATGCAAACAAAAGTGATAGAGAGAGTGTCCAAGGAAACCCTTAACCTGCTTTTGCCAGAGATTATGCCAGGTCTAATACAGGTAAGCAACAAAGCTTGTAGGGGAATAAGCCATGATACAGTTGGGATTCAGTTATTTTAGGTACTTTCCAGGCAACATTAGTGGTATGATCAAGCCCTCCTCCTGTTTGCAATATTCAGGAAAAAGACTCTTCATAACTAGCCAGGTGGATGTGAGTGGGGTAAAATTTATATAACATAAAATTAACCATTTTTAAGTGTACAATTTAGGGGCATTAAATAAATTCACATGTTATGCAACCATCACTACTATCCACATACAGAAATTTTTCATCATCCCAAACTGAAACTGTACCCATTAAGCAATAACCCCATTCCTTCCTCCCTCCCTCCCTCCCAGCACCTGGTAACCTCTCTTCTGTTTTCTGCTAGATTCCGTATAAGTAGAATAATACAATATTTGTCCTTTTAAGTCTGACTTATTTCACTTAGCATAATATTTTCAGGGTTCCTCCATATTGTAGCATACATCAGAATTTCATTCCTTTTTATGAATGAATAATATGCCATTTATGTATGTGCCACTAATTGTTAATCCATTCATCTGTTGATAAATATTTGGATTATTTCTTTTTTATTAACAAATATAATGAAATTTCCTTGTAATATCTTCATGCACTTATATATATACATCTAGAAGCAATTTCTAGGCATTGCCAGATTTCACTCCAAAATGATTATGCTAATTTACAGTCATAGATGTAATGTGTTTCTCTTTAGCCACATAAACCCAATCATAGAAATATTTTAACAAAAATAAGATGTCTTTTGTAACATGCTTTAATTTAACCTTACATTGTGAACTTTTTTCATCAAATAATATTTTACAATGTAATTTTCATGGCTGACTAATATTAATAGTATTGTATATTAAGACCCCATCTAAAGAGAATTATTCATTATGCATCTGTAGTATTGTATTTTTTATTCTATTCTAAGCTTAATATTACTAAATTGTGAGGTCCTAACATAAGATCAAATATCTTTGTCTATGCCTTAGTACTAAGAACAGACTATATATGTCATATGTATATGTCATACATATAATGGGTACTGAATACATGTTTGCTGGGTAAATAACCTAGAGTATAAGGGTGCTAGCAAAGAGCTATTATGGCTTTAAGTTCTTATACATTTCTTATCTCCTCTGCTGATAGGTTGGTGCAGAATTTTATTGCATACATGATTATAGGGAAAAGACATCTTACCTATCAGAAAAGCACAAGAATGCTAATGAATATAAATGTTAGCATTTTAATTCTTTGCTGTAGACTATTAAAATTAGGGTGTGTAGGTATTAGGACCAGAGCAATGACAGGCAAGAAGGTCACGGCAATATAATTTTTGAATGCCTTCAGATTTTCTCACCAGAAAATTATCTCACTGAACAGCTATCATACAAAAAACATGAAAAACATCTTCAACAAAATTAGAAAACAGTATCCTAGTGAACCCCAAAATATAAGCAGATAGGGCCAAACCGTCATCAGCAGCAAGTTCCCCTGCAAATATCAGTGGTATGGAAAAGTGTGAAGGAAAGTCAAAAGTTACTTTTAAGACCTTGGAACCAGAGAATCACACAGGTTCTCACCCCTAAAAGAGGTGTCCCCAATCTTAGTGAAAGGCTAAGTATACAAAACTGATAAAAAATTGGAGGTGAAGGCAAAAGTACTGCAGGAAGCCAGGATCATGCTGGTGGCATGTGTCCTCAGGGCCCTTAGAAATACCACAAAAGCTCCCTTCCAGAAAGAGCTTGTTTAGCAAAAAATTCCTTGGAATAGAGTCTAAACCGAGCATCTACGCAACCATAAGAAAGAACAAAATTGTGTCCTTTGTAGCAACGTGGATGCAACTGGAGGCTATCATCCTAAGTGAATTAACACAGAAACAGAAAACAAAGGCCACATGTTCTTGTTTATAAGTGGAAGCTAAACATTTTGGATATACTTGGACGTAAAATTGGGAACAATAGACAATGGAAACTCCAGAAGGAGTTGGGAGAAGAGGGAAGGGTTGAAAAACTACCCATTTGGTACTGTGTTCGCTGTTTGGGTGATGGGATCAATAGAAGCCCAAATTCTCAGCATCACACAGTATACTTATGTAATAACCTACATGTGTACCCTCTGAATCTAAAATACACTGAGTGTTGTAGCAATACTGTGGCAGAGGTGGCTACCCAAAGGCCGTATTTTTTAATACTTAATAAGGATAACATACCATAAAATACTTCACAGCCCATAAAAAGGAACAAAATCATGTCCTTTGCAGGGACATGGATGGAGCTGGAAGCCATTATCCTCAGCAAGCTAACCCAGGAACAGAAAATCAAATATCGCATGTTCTCACATAAAAGTGAGAGTTGAACAATGAGAACACATGGACACAGGGAGGGGAACAACACACACTGGGGCCTGTCAGGGGAGAGAGCAGGAGGACGTAGAGCATCAGGATAACTAGCTAATGCATGTGGGGCTTACTACCTAGGTTGATGGGTTAATAGGTGCAGCAAACCACAATGGCACATGGTTACCTATGTAACAAACCTGCACACCCTATACATGTATTTCAGAACTTTAAACAAAACTAATTTTTTTAAAGAAGGGTAACAAGAAGAAAGAATCCTGCAGCAATAAAGCTAGAAAAGCTTTCGTGGCCCAATCCACTTCCCCACACAGAAGATTTTATTTTAAAATATAGAATATAGAAAAGTGTCTTTCACTTACACATGAGCAACAGAAAAGGGTTGTGGCAGTCAAGCTCATACAAACATATTGCCTATTCTTCAAAAAAGAGGAAGAAAATAATGGCCTGAAATATACTTACAGTGAAGCTACACCAGAAACATATGGACACAAAGCAAATGAAAACTTAAACCCAAATTTAAGAAAACAAGATTTTAAAAATGTAAGAAAACAATAGAAACAAATAAAAAGCATGAATCAGAGTTTTTAAAGCTTGTAAAGGGGGAATTAGACAATAGATCTATTGAAAACAGCGGTCACAGCTTAAGAAAGAATATTTTATTACCAATCTTTAATGGGATATACCCTAAAAATAAATGAAACTGCAAAGAAATCCTGAACTGCGTTCAATATATTTATAGTTAGGAAAGATACTGGTATGGTTATTTTTGAATAGTAATAACATTGATACACATATCTATAGATAGATTAGATGGATAGATAGATAAGATAGATCAGGACAAAGCAAATAATGATGTCATAAAATGAAGAAAATCTCAACTTTGAATGAGATATATCAAATGAATATCTTATCTCAAAAAGTGTTTCCTAGACCTACCCTCTAAATCAGTATAAACTCAGTAACACTGAGCATCCTTACCACCCAGATTGTGATCTTCGAATACCATTTTCCACTCAAAAGAGTCAGGTGTCTTTGGGAAAATGACTGAGTCCAGGTTTGGAACAGGTAATGTATAAAATGAGCCTGGGAATTCTTGTCTGAAAGCAAGGAAACTATGAATATTTGAGAGTCAGAAAGAATAATGCTACAATGAATTAAAATACATCAAATTTTAAAGTGAAATTCATGAGTTTATATTGATAACTTTAAAATCTGGCTAAGTTTGAAGATTATTGGGTTATTCTCAAAATTGATTAATAAAGAGAAAGAATCAAAGCACATAGACTACCTATCCTATTTTCAGGATAACCAAGTATTTGATGAGATAAAATACTTTTAGAAGGATTCCAGCTCATAAATTTAAAGAAATTACTGACTTATAAAATTATGTGTGGCCAGGCGTGGTGGCTCATGCCTGTAATCCCAGCACTTTGTGAGGCCAAGGAACGCAAATCACTTGAGGTCAGGAGGTCAAGACCAACCTGGCCAACATGGTGAAACCCCATCTCTACTAAAAATGAAAAAATTAGCCAGGCTGGTGATGGGCACCTCTAATTCCAGCTACTTGGGAGGCTGGGGCGGGAGAATCACTTGAACCCGGGAGGTGGAGGTTGCAGTGAGCCGAGATTGTACCACTGCACTCTAGCCTGGGAGACAGCATGTGGTAGCTCACACCTTTAATCCTAGCACTTTGGTAAGCCAAGGTAGTAGGATCACTTGACCCACAAGTTCAAGACCAGCCTGGCAACATAGTGATGCCTCATCTCTACAAAAATGTTTTTTAAGTAGCCAGGTTTTCTTGCCTGGCTCAGTGCCTCACGGTGGCCTGTGGTCCCAGCTACTCAGGAGGCTGAGGTGGGAGAATCACCTGAGCCTGTGAATTTGAGGCTGCAGTGCACTGTGATCATGCTATTGCATTCCAGCCTGGGTGGCTAAGTAAGAGTCTCAAAAAATAAATAATAAAAATAAATACACACACACACACACACACACACGGTATGGCCTCATTGAAACAATGGATATATGAAGTGATTTTCAGTAGCCACTTAAATTATTAGATGAAAAGATGATGGGGCAGGATATATAATGGAGGGGTTAGACTAACAACATCTGAACCTACTGATCAGTCTTAACATCACTGAAGGCGGGACAGCTACACATTATGTGTCATTCAATGAGATGCACCACCTGAAAAAGTTATTTTGCCTGGATTGGTGGCTCACACCTGTAATCCCAGCACTTTGGGAGGCTAAGGCAGGAGTATTGCTTAAGCCTAGGAGTTGGAGAACAGCTTAAGCAACATAATAAGAAACTGTCATTACAAAAAATTCAAAAAATTAGCCAGACATGGTGGCATGTGCTTGTAGTCTCAGCTACTTGGGAGGCTGAAATGGAAGGATCACTTGAGCACAGGAGGTGGAGGTTGCAGTAAGCCATGATCATATCAGTCCACTTCAGCCTAAGTGACAGAGCAAGACCCTGTCTCAAAAAAATAAAAATATACTCCATCTCTCTCCTGATCCATGTTGAAAAAAGAAAAAAAGAAAAGAAAAATAAAAAGTTTTCTTTTCTAAAGCAGTTGAACCTAAATCTAATGAAGTCTTAGCATAACTGTCAGTTTAAAGGAAGTTCAGAGAATAGAGAAGCATGGTAAATTGTACCCTAAGGGTATATTCAGTTCAAATTCAGAATGTAGGAAATTCTACAAGGAAAACTGCCAAATTCCTTTAATAAAGAAGTGGCATGAAGAAAGAGGAAGAGGAAGTTATCAACTGTTAAAGATTTAAAGAGTGTCAAGAATCTAATCAACTTGAAAAAGAAGAACAAAATTGGAGTATTCACACTCCCAATTTTAGAACACATTGCAAATCTATGGTAGTAAAGACAACATGGTACCATCATAAAGGTAGACTTACAGATCAAGAAATAGAATCCAAAAATAACCCTCACATTTAGAGACAATTGATTATCATAGTTTTTCTGTGAGGAAGAAGAGTATTTCTAATAAATGTGATGGTATGACAATTGAGTTTCCACATGAAAAAGAATAAAGTTGAACCCCTACCTCACACCATATACAGAAATTAACTCAAGTAGTGATGCACAGAAAATGGCAGACAGAGTAGGAAGCTCCAAGAATTGATCCCTATACTTAAGCAACCACTGAGCTAGCAAAAATGAATAGAATCAACTTTTTTGAAACTCTAGGATCTAACCAAAAACTGATAGTAACCAAGAGAGTACTCAATGAAAGAGGCTTACTTTCTTACTTTCAGTACTTTAGAGTAATGCTACAATGAATTAAAATACACCAAATTTTAGTTCAAAGCAAATTATAAATATGTCATATTAAATACTTCATGAAGTTTATACTTTCAGGATCTAGCCTAATGCTTTAAAAACTACTTTCTGGCTTAATACTTACAGGACATAGTATAATGTTTTAAAGATTACTTTCTGCTTAATTTCCTGTTTGTTTTGGGTGGTGAGTTGCCTGGCTAATTTTTAAAACTTTTTGTAGAGACAGTGTCTTACTATGTTGCTTAAGCTTGACTCCTGGGCTTAAGCAGTCCTCCTACATCCACCTCCCAAAGTGTTGGGATTACAGGCATAAGCCACCAAGCCAAACAAGAAAATTTGTTAGGTGGTATCTCATTGAAAAACACATAATGTGTAATTGTCCCACCGTCAGTGATGTTAAGACTGACCAGTAGGTTCAGATGTTGTTAGTGTAACCCCTTCATTATATACCCTGCCCCATCATCTTTTCACCTAATGATTTTAGCAGCCACTGAAAATTATATATCATTGTAGCATGATTCTATTCATTTTGGCCAGCTCAATGGTTGCTTATGTAGAAGTATCAATTCTGTAAGCTTCCTACTGTGTCTGCCATTTTCTGTGACATCATTCCTTGAGTTAATCTTTGTATATAGCGTCAGATAGGGTTTCAGCTTCATTGCTTTTCATGTACTGAAAAGTACTTTTTTACTTTCAGTAAGAAAGTTACTTAACTGCCTACCATCTCCCATGCTCAGTAGCCTTGGTGGTGGTGGCCCATATTTGCAGTGTAGCTTGCTGGTGCCAGGTGGGACATGGACCTTGTTCTCAAAAAATTGTGGTTATTTATTTATTTACTTATTTTTAAATCTCTGGCATTCTCTGAGAGGCTGGCACAGAGGCTAGCCTTTGTTTCACCTCCCATCAGGCTGAATTGGCTTCCTAAGTAGTGTCTACTGAAAAGATTTAAAAACATATACTACCCATAGCCACCTGAGGCAAGGGAGAGTAGACGGGACAAGCAGCAAACAGAAAAGCCTGGGAAGGAGGAAGCTGAGGAAGAAGATAATTGGTGAAATAAGGGTTTTGCTGGGCTATTAGGTGTACTGAGGAATCCACCAAAAGTATGCTCAGAAAAGACCTTAGAGCAGGGGTCCCTAACCCCCAGGCCATGGACTGTTAGGAACTGAGCCACACAGCAGGAGGTGAGCAGTGGGCAAGTGAGCATTACCACTTGAGCTCCACCTCCTGTCAGATCAGCAGTGGCATTAGATTCTTATAGGAGCACAAAGCCTATTGTGAACTGCACCTACAAGGGATCTAGGTTCCATGCTTATGAGAATCTAATGCCTGATAATCCAAGGTGGAAGAGTTTCATCCCAAAACCATCTCCCCACCACCCTGCCCCATCTGTGGAGAAATTGTCTTCCATGAAACCAGTCCTTGGTGCCAAAAAGGTTGGGAGCCACTGTCTTAGAGGACCCTGGGCTTGGATCTCTGGATGTTCTTTGGGCTCCGTGCGAGTAGGAGTTGAGCTAACACAGAATTGTAGGCAGCCTAGCTAATTGAATGATTACCCAGCTCAGAGTCAATCATCTCAGAGTCAATCTGCAAAGACTGGGAGAGTTTGTCTTGTTTTGTTTTGGCTCCGGCCATTTAAAGAAATCTCTGTCATGTCACTGACTGACTACTGAAATAACAGACTTCAGTGTCCATGTACGGTAAACAAAATGTACTCAAATCAGTGATCTAAATATAGTAACTGAAACTATAAAAATCATAGAAGAAAACAAGGATAAATCTCTAGACCTTAGATTTAAGGTCATCCTCTATGGCAGTGGATTATTAGATATGACACCTGAAGCATCAACAATAAATAAACAATAGGTTAATTGGACTTCATCAAAGTTAATAACTTTTGTTCACAAGACCTAATCAAAAAACTGAAAAGACAACCTATAGAATGGGAGAACATTTATCTGATAAGGGTCTACTATCCAGAATATATGTAAAGAACTCTTATAACTCAGCAACAAAAAGATAAATAACTTTTAAAGGGACAAAGGACTTGAATAGATATTTCTTCAAAGAACATGTACAAATAGCCAGCAAGTACGTGAAAAGATGCTTGATGATATTTAAACATTGAATGCCATACTGTTTGCAGTGTTATTTTTACTAGGAAAAATTTAGCAGGAAGGAGGTTGTTGGGGAGGAGGATTTAAACTTACAACACTCTAGAGTGGTTAAATTAGGAAACATGAAATGAATACCTCATATCATGATTATAAAGGCTGGAAAAAATAATTTACATTATAATTGCAATTATATAAAAATGAGGGAAAATAAAATTAACATTGATTGCATGACTTAGGAACAATATACTTATTTTAGGTGGATATCTGTTGATATTTTAATGTTTCTGCAGTTGTTTTAGAAACATAAAATGATTAGGACTTTAGTGGAGGTGAACTCTATTTTTCCCCAAGTAAAATGTGCATATTCATTCAGATAATTGATTCAAAAATACTTCATGGATAAGATTGCTGTAGACTATTGAAATAGAATAAGTAGTGTGATCAAAGCGTAAGTGGCGGAGATGGACAGAAAAAGGGAAGATGCTGGTCAAAGTGTACAAAGTTTCAGTTAAAGAGGAGTAGGTTCTGGCTCTCTATTACACTGCACAGTAACTAGTTAATAATGTATATTTCAAAATAGCAATTATTTTTAAAATGGATTTCAAATGTTACAAAGAAATGATAAGTATCTGAGGTGATAAATGTGTTGATTAGCCTGATTTGATCATTCCAGTGTACGTGTATTGAAACATCACATTATACCCCATAAATATATACAATTATTATTTGTCAATTAGAAACAAAATAATTTTTAAAATAAAATGAGGTTATTAAAGGCATAATAAAAGTAAAAAGGAATAGTTTACATAGACTGGATTTATTAGAGAAAGTAATTGCAGGGATGGAACAGATGTAAAACTTAATTAGGCCTGGATTATAGAAGTACCTTGAGCTACCAAACAACCAAGTTTAGGTTTCATTGGATAGCAGGGAAGTGCTGACTGCCTTAAAGCCTAATGCTTTAGGAAAATTAGTCTGGAGACTTTTTTTCAGGGTGAATTGGCAAGGGGGCAGCCTCAGAGTCAGAGAAGTCTATCTTTCTAGGCTAAGTAAGAACCTGATAGAGAGGGCTAACAGAGTGAGGGCACAGTAAGGGAAGTAAAGGGGCATTGTCTATGCTTGCAAAGGTTAAAAAGTTAACTTCGATCTGCAGAGTTTTCTCTCCTCAGTACGCTCAAGATTTCATCTTCCAGTTTCATCTTCTGTCCCTATTAAAAAGGTAGTTTTCTTGGATCCCCTGGAGTACTAACAATGGACTTCTCTCTATAGGGTTATGATAATTCAGAGAGCAGTGTTCGGAAAGCTTGTGTCTTCTGTCTGGTGGCTGTTCATGCGGTAATTGGTGATGAGCTAAAACCACATCTCAGTCAACTCACTGGCAGTAAAGTAAGTAGTGCTGCTGTGTTTTAAAGATGGTGGCCATAGTACATCATTCATAATTTAGTTATATGTCTGTAATGGTAAGCTCTTTATTTGGCATTTAGTAAGTCATGCTTTGAGTATCCAACTTGCCCTTATTATTTCTATTTTGTATTTTATCTGTTTCTACTCTAACATTGGTCACTCAGGTGAAGTCAGTAGTTTGCTGGGGTGGTGAGTAGGTTTCTGTGAGAGAAAAATACCTGCAGCTTCTAGTTATTTGTAATAGTTAGATGACTCCTTACCAAATCCCAGACTCAAATCTTTACCCCTAAGCACTGTTTCATTAAGAATAAATAGACTGTTGTGGTTATATATTCTTGAATTACTGTATATCTCTCAAAATATAGAATACTTGAACATTTTTAAAGTGTTCCCCTTAAAAACTGTGATAATCAAATATTTGTTCTCTTTCTATTACCCAAATTAATGTCCAACTTTAACTTGAAATGTTAAAAAATAAAAGTTTTCTGATTCATTGTTCAGACTTAAAAAAATAAATGAGTCTTGCCATTCTCATTTGATTGCTACTACCACAACTTTGAAATTCATTCTACTAAGATGGCCAGGCAAAGTGGTTCATACCTGTAATCCCATCACTTTGGGAGACCAAGGCAGGAAGATCACTTGAGACCAGGAGTTTGAGATCAGGCATGGGCAACATATTGAGAAGACCCTGTCTCTAACAATAAAAAGATAATAATAATTTTTCTGAATTAGAAGTTTGTTCTCCAGGGTCAGGATAACTTATGATTGTTGAATTATGACTTATCAGCCAGTTAGCAGGAGGCACTCACCATCACTTAAAGAACTTCTCAAATCCTAGGATTGTTTTAACTATGGTCAAATTTATTTTTTAACAGCAAAAAGGCAGAATATATAGATAATGGAAAATGAGCCAAAGTACACACCTTAAATTAAGTATCTGTATAAGTTAGAGATAGATTAAAACAATAATTCTTAACTCTGGGTTACAGACCACTTCAAGACTTAGGTTAAATCTCATCTCAAGAAAAATGCATTCAGATAAAAACCATAAAAGACAAAGTTTAAAAAAAATAGAAAAATACATAATTGAAACAATTATGTGTCATTTCAAAGGGTATGATCCCCTGAATCCCATGGCTACCAGGTTAAAACTCTTGGATCAAAGTGTTAATATTTAGAAAGTAAACCTTCCAAAACAGTTAAAACTCAGCACTTTAGCAGAACAGTAGGTAGCCAGTAATAATGACACATGTGAAGACAGTAGAGAGGTGAAAAAATATTATGAAATAACAGTAGATGAAACAAGTAGGCCACATGCGGTGGCTCCCACAGCCCTTTGGGAAGCCAAAGTGGGAGGATCACTTGAGCTCAGGAGTTTGAGACCAGCCTGGCCAACACAGAAAGACGCAGTCTCTACGGAAAAAAAAAAAAAATTAGGCCGGCTCGGTGGCTCACGCCACTTTGGGAGGCCAAGATGGGTGGATCACGAGGTGAAGAGACCGAGACCATCTGGTCAACATGGTGAAACCCCGTCTCTACTAAAAATACAAAAATTTGCTGGGCATGGTAGCGCACGCCCATAGTCCCAGCTACTTGGGAGGCTGAGGCAGGAGACTTGCTTGAACCCAGGAGACGGAGGTTGCAGTGAGCTGAGATCGCGCCATTGCACTCCATCTGGGTAACAAGAGCGAAACTCCATCTCAAAAAAAAAAAAAAAATTAGCCAGGCACGGTTGCACTTGCCTTTGGTCCCAGCTACTTGGGAGGCTGAGGTTAGAGGATTGCCTGAGCCCAGGAGTTTGAGGCTGCAGTGAGCCGTGATGATGCACTGCATTCCAGCCTAGCCAACAAAGGAAGACCCTGTCTCCAAAAAAGAAAAAAAATCAGAACACAGAATTGTATATGTATTGATTACAAACTTCATAAAATAGTGATTTCTTACAGTCAAAGACTGCAAAATGACACAGATATCAAAAACATTCTTGGTAAGAAGGTAGTGAGACTTTGTGGTCTAAGATCCTTAGGTCCTATAACTCAAATACCTGAATTCCTATTTTTGCCCACTTCTTTCCCCACCCTCCCCTCTGCCCTGAGACAGAGTTTTCCTCTTGTTGCCCAGGCTGGAGTGCAGTAGTGTGATCTCAGCTCACTGCAACATCGCCTGCCGGGTTCAAGCAATTCTCCTGCCTCAGCCTTCTGAGTAGCTGGGATTACAGGCATGTGCCACCACACCCTGCTAATTTTGTATTTTCTAGTAGAGATGGGGTTTCTCCATGTTGGTCAGGCTGGTCTTGCTCCCAACCTCAGGTGATCCACCCACCTCGGCCTCCCAGAGTGCTAGGATTATAGGCGTGAGCCACTGCACTCAGCCTTTTGCCCACTTCTTACCCACCCCTGTTATCTCAGACAGAAACATAACCATTCTGTAGTCCTCATCTATAAAATGTGAAGATAAAAGGATAATGTAAAACAGCATATTGCTCAATTGTTTGTTATTGCTTTAATGGTGACTTCTGAGTTTAATGTTGTATTTGTCTGTTCTCACGCTGCTATAAAGAACTGCCCTAGACTGGGTAATTTATAAAGACATTTAATTGTCTCAGTTTTGCATGGCTTGAGAGGCCTCAAGAAACTTACAGTCATGGCAGAAGGGTGTGCAAACACGTCCTTCTTCACATGATGGCAGGAAGGAAAATAATGAGAGAAGTGCAGAGCGAAGCGGGAAAAGCCGCTCACAAAACCATCAGATCTTGTGAGAATTCACTCATGGTATCACGAGAACAGCATAGAGAACCAGGATTCAGTCACCTCCCACAAGATCTCTCCCCCAACACATGGGGATTACAAGTCAGATTACAATTCAAGATAAGATTTGAGTGGGAACACAGAGCCAGACCATATCAAGTGTTTTATATGTGATCCATACAACATATTTTGAAAAGACATGATAAAATACTCTTTCATGAATAACTGAAGACTTAAAAACTTTTTTGGTTTTTTAAGTACTTTTTCTTTTCAGATGTGCTAGCCAAAAAAAGTAATAATTTGTTATTCTTAATTATCAGCAATAACTCGGGCATTATCATAACCCCCAGCCTAAAATGTATCTTTCCAAGCTCACATATATGTATGTAATATTTTAATGAGCATCTTATATTTTGGATCAGCTCGCTCAAATGACATTTATTTGGCTTGAATCTGCAGATGAAGCTACTGAATCTTTATATCAAACGTGCACAAACGGGTTCTGGAGGAGCTGATCCCACTACTGATGTTTCTGGACAAAGTTAGTGAAGCTCGTCAAAGCGAACCAGGTCTCAAAAGAAAGGACAGATAGACCACCCTCATCAATGAAAGGAAATTCTCAAACACATCCTTTGGAACTTACTATTGTTTCCCAGTTTTAGTTTGTTCTTTTGTTTTGTTTTGTATTTTCTGTAACAGAGGACTATCCTCAGTCTGCATGTAACTTTTATGATAGTTATTCCAAATTCAAGAAGAAGCAGTATTAACATCAATTGATCGATACAAAGTAATTTTTAATCTAATTCATCATTTCACATGTTTGTACTTTGTCTTCCCATTAACTTTGCCAGTGTTATGATTGTATAAATTTTTTTTAATGCTGGTTAAACCGGAATGCTTAAAGCTTTAAAAGTTTTAACAGTCTAAAACATTTTTGCCTTTATTCAACTGCAGAATAATATTTTTATTGCTACTTTAGTTTTGTTCCGTATCATGTCCTATGCTAGAAATATTTAAATGATGTGAAACAAAGCAGGACTAATTTGAACTACAGCTGGACTCTGTTTGTGTAATGGTGATACATGTCATTAGTTGCAACTTCTTTGGGGTGATCTGTAGTTTGAAAACTAAAACCTCAAAGACAGATGTTACAGAATCAGCCAGTTCTGTAAAACTGATATTGTTTGTTGGTTATTGATCTTGCCATCTTTATTTAAAACCATGTCCCTTCTATGATCCCTTAAGAAAGCTGCACCAAATCATCTGCCTGTTTTTTTCTTGATACCGAAATAGAAGGTTTTATTGCAGGGTTTTTTTTGGTTTGTTTATATCTTTGTTGTGAATGATGCTTTTTTTGTATTTATTAATATCAAATTCACTTATGAATAAACTTGCTAAAGGAAACAGACAAAAAAAATCAAGTGCGTGTGTGTCCTTGACCGTCTTCTGTATCTCACGTAATAAACAAACTAATTATTGAGACATGGGAGTGACCAGCACCTTTTCTTTAAATGGTGGAACCTGGTTTCCTTTTACCATGAAATTGTCTTACTTGAAAATATTGATCCTGATGAGAGAGAAGATGGTGCCAAGGCTATCTTAGTATAATGGGCTCAAATTCTCTACCTCTTCAGGGCTAATACTTTTAACTGAGCTGCTGCCTATATTGTCTTTTGGAAAACTACTTAAAGGGTGATTTTTCTGTTACTTTTTAACAAATTTTTTTAATCACCTTTTGCTACACCCGTTCTTTTCATGTGCAGCCGACTTTCAAAGATTACCACTTTTGGTGAAAGGCCAAATTAGATAATTTGGAACCAGGATACTAATGATTTCTCATCTTCACTTTTTTTTAATCCTAATATAAAGTGAATTTGATTGAAAAGGCAAATAGCTATTAGGGAAGCAATTTGCTATTGTTACAGAGTTATCTGTACTTTCTTTGTTTAATTGAAAAAAATGTAGAAATGTATGTAAAGAATTTAAGACAAGAATACTGAATGGATGATTTGTCATAGGCTTTCCCCTTCCTTTGTTTCTGTTCTAGCAGCAGGCAAAGTTTCTCTATTTCTTCTCCCTCTACCTGTAACAATTTTGTTTTCTACTGTTAATTACATTGTGTATTTATAGTTCTATGCTTACTGTTGTGCATATACTGGCAATAAAACTGTACATAACATTACTTGAAAAAGTTAATAATGTATATCAGTCATTTTTCTGTCTCACAGTGTAACAAGTCACTCAGTTAAAGTTTCTCTTTAACTTTAGGTCTTGTATCAGTGGTGTTCTCTTGAATTTTGTAAGTCCATCTGAGGAGAAAAGATTTTTCAAGTGTAGCAACTACAATTAAAGGTATATAGCTCTATACACATGTATAAATTACAGCTTATCTGTAAGAAGAAAATGCATTTTAAACATTGGTCTCTTCTCAGTAGATTTGACCTTTTGATATGTTTGTAAACATGACCTTCGGATATGTTTGTAATCATTTCGAATCAAAATACTGATTTGATTTTGACCTTTGGTTTAAGATACTGCTTTAACTACTGTTGACAACTAAGTAAAGTGACTTAAGCTGAATAGTAACTCTAACTGGAAAATTAGATCAAGTACCTGGCATCTAGTGGCAGACAGCCACTCAAGAAATGAATTAACTACACAGTGGAAAAACATGGTTTAATGTGTCCAAATGAAAGCTAATGTATATAAACATTAACAAAAGTTTACAATTCTATAATTTCAGTTGATAAGGCTATAAGAAAGTTATTGATTATTTAAATCACTATATACCATAGACCCTTAATTTTTTCATTCCAGAAACATTTTTAGATGTCAGCTACTTAAAAACAGTCACAAAAAGCTACTGTTTAAATTCTTCTTCCTGCTATTCTCTCCCAAATTATTAGTGTTCATTTACTGCACTGCTGAGAACTAATTAAAAGCATATATTCCAGGTTGAAAAACATGTTTATTTTTTTTTTGGGTTTCAAAATCTGTAATAGACTTCTAACATTTTCAAGTAAAATGTGGTTTGAACTCAGGTTCAAACTTGAAAATGGTAGCCTTCAGTTTTGCAGTTAATCTGCAAAACTGTTTCTTCATATTTTATTCTTACAAACTTTAAGTCAAAGTTACTTTTATTAAGTTATGTCTTACAGTAAAAGACTGGAATCTAACTGATAACATCATTGATAAGGCCAAATGTTTGTTAATTCAAATGTAGCTTATAATTGCTCAACTAAAACAGCATTTACAGTAAATAGAAATGACAATTAATTAGCATATTACTTCATGATTACTACATGAGGCTTTTTAAACTTAATTTTTTACATCTTTGCAATTTTTTATATCTTTTTTATATCCTTGCAGTGAGCCGAGATCGCACCACTGCACTCCAGCCTGGGCAACAGAGCAAGACCGTTTCTCTCAAAAAAAAAAAAAAAAAAAAAAAATTACTTTTAATATCACCACTAGAGATAATCTATATTGCTTGCTATTTTAGAATACTAAGATAATGAGTTTGATTTAATACTGAAAACTGTAGGATTAGAATTAACTAACATTTTGAATACTTCTGTGCATGTATTTAACAATACTTTTGGGAGGTTTTGTTTGTTTTTTTTGAGATGGAGTCTCGCTGTATCTCCTAGTCAGGGCGGAGTGCAGTGATGTAATCTTGGTTTACTGCAACCTCCACCTCCCAGGTTCAAGCAATTCTCCTGCCTCAGCCTACTAAGTAGCTGCGATTACAGACACATACCCCCACACCTATTAAAAAAATTTATATTTTTAGTAGAGACAGGGTCTCACCATGTTGTCCAGGCTAGTCTTGAACTCCTGACCTCAAATGATCCCCCCACCTTGGCCTCCCAGAGTGCTTGGATTACAGGTATAAGCCACCATGCCCAGCCCTTAACAATACTTTCAAATATATTCTTTCTTCTAAAAGGTAGCCTCTGATGTAGCCTGGGCGACTGAGCGAGACTCCAAGAGGTGATGCTTAAACTTAGTCTAAAGGCGGAATGTGTCTGAGAAACATTTGGGGGTTACAGAGTGGGCAGAGAAGAGAAGCAAAAGTAGCAAGGCAATGATGTATAAAATGGCAAGAAGCATGAGGACATGTTATTGGAACTTTTTAACTACTGTTAAATTTCCCTCCCCTCTCCTTTAAAAATAGCTGCAACAAAAACAGCCATCTGTGGTGGCCCAGATACTCAGAACGGTGAGGCAGGAGGATCACTTGAGCCCAGGAGTTAGAAGCCAGCCTGGGCAACATAATGAGACCCCCATCTCTAAAATACAAAAGAAAAAGAAAATCTGCATCTTTGAAAGCAAGCAAACTTGGATATAGCTTTTATTTTAGTGGTTAGCATTTCAAAAGTTTTTCTTATCTTGTAAAGTTATACTGTTGAATTTTCTTTTTCAAACCAAACGTAGCACTTTGTGCCTCCCCAACTGGCCATTGTTACACAACTTGGTTTGACTAGAACCTGAGCTAGTGGGGGAATGGCCCAAGTCGGAGTAGTAGATATTCTAAGATATATATTCTATGATATAGTCTATGTGAACTAAGGATTCCACTGAAGACTTCAGCAGAATAATGCAATTAAAATTAACATCCCAAACATTCCAATTTTACATAATCTGAAAACTTCAGAAGTGAGATATTTTAGGCTCCAGTTTTTTACATATTGGCCTCTACTAACCTGGCTCTGATTTTTCATTCACTTATTAAATATTTGAGCACCTGCTGTGCATCTGACACTCCTAAAGTCTATGCTGTAAATATGTAGTTGTGGATCTGGTGATGGGAGAAACATGTTAATGTGTCCTCAGAAGTTACAGTGTTATGGGAGGGGCTGGCCTGTTACTCGGGGTAGGAAAGCACCCAGGGATGCTGCTTTTTGCAAACCATGCTGACTAGCATGCTATGCAGCTCTGGTCTCCCTGTATTCATTCAATGTTAATGTCAGATTCATAGGACAGTATTTTTCTCCTTAAGAAAGTGTAAATCTATTATTTATTGGAAGTGAATGCAAAAAGAGATTGCCTGACAATTTTGCTAGTTTTAGTCTAAAGCCAAATTTACAGTAGTTTTCATCAAAGTTTAGGTCAGAGTAGAGACATGGAATCAATGTTAGATTACATCAATAAAGCAACAAATGTGCTTTTTCTTCTCCATCTTCCTTTTTTTTTTTTAATTTAATGAAGAACATCAGGAACTTGGGATTTTTTTCACTCTTTCTTTTTTTTTAATTTAATAAAGATCTCCATCTACCTAAAGCAGTGGTTCTCAGCTGCGGGTAACTTTTGCCTGCTGGAGGACATTTGGCAATATCTGGAGGCATTTTTGATCGTCTCAATTTGGATGTGGAGGCACTATTAGCATCTAGTGGGTACAGGCCAAGGAAGGTGCAAAACCTCCTACAATACACAGGACAGACAGCCCTCCACAGCAAAAACTTATCTGGGCTCAAATGTCAATAATGCACAAGCTGAGAAACGTTGCCCTAAAGCAAAGGGGTTGCCATAAATAGGTCCTAATACAGCCCTGGTTAGAAGCACTGAATCGGTGTTTTATTTCTCACTTTGTCTAGGGATAGGTTTTCACTCTGTCATACAGGCTGGAGTGCAGTGGCACAATCATTTCACCGTAACCTAAACTGGGTTCAAGCAGTCCTCCCACCTCAGCCTCCTGAGTAGCTAGGACTATGGGCACGTGATACTATGTCCACTTAATTTTTTTTTAATGTTTATTTTTTGTAGAGACGGAGTCTCCCTATGTTTCCCAGGCTGGCCTTGAACTCCTGGCCTCAAGCAATGATCTGTCCTCTCTGCCTCCAAAGTGCTGGGATTACAGGTACGAGCTACCACACCTGGCCTGAATCAGTTTTTTACACTAATAAATAGAAAGGTGAACAATTTAGAGATCACTTCTAGCTGATTGATTTTAGGATAAATTTTCTTATTTTTAATAAATGATGAACGCACATGCCGAATATTTAACACAAATCATTGATCCTCAACCCAAACACTGCTCATTTTCTACTATAGCTTATCTGATTTAGAAGTTTCTGTTTAATACTAGGCTAGTCCCTCAAATTGTGGTCTCATAAAAGTGATTTTTATTTCAAAAAACTGACGTTCAGCCCCTGAGGCAAGAGAATTTCCTTACAGTGAGGTTTACTCCAGGCAGGTCAGCAGCAGTGAATGACCTTGGCATTGGCTGGGCAGTCTTAAACATTAGTCATTCATATAGTGTACGCTTGTGCTTATAGGAAGTACCTAGAGTAGTCAAAGTCATAAAAACAAAAGAAAATGGTGACCTGCGATCATACCACCCTGATCAGGCCCAATCCTGTCAGATCTCAGCAGCTATGCAGGTTTGGGCCTGTTTAGTACTTGGATGTGAGAAAATAGAATGGTGGTTGCCAGGGGCTTGGGGCAGAGGGAAATGAGGAGGTATTTAATAAACACGGGGTTTCTGTTTGGGAGAAGAGTTCTGGAGGTGGGTAGCAATGATGGTTGCACAACATTGTGCGTGCATTTCATATCGCGGAACCAAGCTTAATAATTAAGATGATAAATTTTGTTACATGTATTTCTCCACAGTTAAAAACAATAAAACAATTTATTGGTCATTAAAATGAGTTCAAGGCCAGGTGCAGTGGTTCACACCTGTAATCACACCACTTTGGGAGGCCAAGATGGGAGAATTGCTTGAGGTCAGGAGTTTGAGGCCATCCTGGCCAACATGGTGAAACCCTGTCTCTACTAAAAATACAAAAATTAAGGCTGGTTGTGATGGCTCATGTCTGTAATCCAAGCACTTTGGAGGCCAAGTCGGGCGGATCACCTGAGGTCGGGAGTTCAAGACCAGCCTGACCAACATGGTGAAACCCCGTCTTTAAAAAAATAAAGAGGAAATAAAGGAACCCAAGCTCTGTGCGAGGGCTGTCTGTGCCATTCCACCCACCTTGCCCTTCAAACCTGAACTCGAGCCTGCTGTTCACTGGCCTAGCATTGCTCTCGCCATGGCTCTCAGCGATGCGGACATGCAAAAGCAGATTAAGCATATGATGGCTTTCATTGAACAAGAAGCCAATGAGAAAGCAGAAGAAATAGATGCAAAGGCAGAGGAAGAGTTCAACATAAAGGTCGGCTTGTGCAAACCCAAAGACTAAAGATTATGGAGGATT